GGAACGGCTTCCGCGTATGACAGTCAGCGGAAGTGAGAAAAAAGTGTTTATTACGTTTGAAATATGGATATTTATCTTACAAAAATGCATGGATTCGCTACAGGAGGCCTTTATTCACCCCCCAAGCCGTGTGAGGGACGTTTTATTACGGATGCGCGCACTTTATTTCACGTCTTCTGAACTGTTGACAACCAACACCCGCTTACCCCCATTGAAAGGGTTGGAGGGGCCAGGACAATTTTTTATATAACTCCGATTGGATTCGTCTGAAAGAAGAAATCAAATCACATACACCTAGGATGCTTTGAGGGTGAGTAAAACAGGCTAATTTTCATTTTTGGGTGAACTAACCCTTTAAGCAAAAAGCTGCATATTTGTAATAAACACCATTAAGTCGTTTTAACTTCAAACCATCAGTTCTGGCTGAAATACAAGTCCATAATCCATAACACGTGACGTCCGGTGAAAAAGTTAATCCCCTATTGTCCTCTCACATCAAAATCCACCAACATATTTGTTTAGAACTGTTTTAGAGTGTTTCACTTGTAAACGTTTTGTGGATATTTCTGTGCACAGAGAAATATGTGCATATTTCTCGCTTGATTCGGATGAGATGACTGGAGAAAGCAACATTATGAATAGAGGACTCCTATTTTAGTTGGAAACAATGGTTTGAAGTTAAAATATATTAATGATAGCTTTGTTTCTTACAATCACACTTCACAAGACATTAATTGATGGACTGTAGTCATGTGGATTACTTGTGGATTATTGTGATGTTTTTATCAGCTGTTTGGACTCTCATTCTGACGGCACCCATTCACAGAGGATCCACTGGTGAGCAAGTGATATCATGCTTCAATATAACAAAATGGACAATAAAATATTTAAGGGTTTTCCATTCTGACGGCACCCATTCACAGAGGATCCACTGGTGAGCAAGTTATATCATGCTTCAATATAACAAAATGGACAATAAAATATTTAAGGGTTTTTTGACACAGTACAGACTTATTGGCCTGTCTGCTAACTGAGACACAATCAAACCTCACATTATCATAAGAAATATACAAAACGATGCATATACAGTACACTTACGTCTGGTGGCTTGCTGGTCGACGAGTAACATTACACACCCTGTACTTCCTCCGCATGGTGCCACAGTGGGTGACCTCCACCTTTAGACCTAATGAGAGGAGAAGATCAAATTTACACCATACAGATGCAACTGGTCAGTTTACAGCATAGAGTATTTTGACTATTAAATACAGAACAGTAAATATCATGTTTCAATCCAAGTTGCAAATTTAATTTATGCAAAAATTAAAGAAGTAATTTGTAAGCAGCATTTCCTTTCCTTGTTTCTCCCAAACAAAAATGTCACTTACACATCTTTGTGTTTCCATTTATTTATTTTTTTTTAAATACGTTATCCCAAAATGTGCATTAAAATATGTGGATGGAAACCTGGCTACTGATCTATGACATTTACATTCATGCATTTTTAAATGTTTCTTTAAAGAAGTTTGCATTTATTTGATTAAAAATACAGTAAAATAGTAATATTGTGAAACACTGTTACAATTTCATTTTAATTTATTTTAAAATGTAATTTATTCCTGTGATGGCAAAGCTGAATTTTCAGCAGTAATTACTCCCATCTTCAGTGTCTCATGATCATTCAGAAATCATTCTAATGTGCTGATTTGGTGCTTCTGCTCAAGAACCATTTCCTCTTATTAGCAATGTTGAAAACAGTTGTGCTGTTAAATATGTTTTTGAAAACTATGATGTTTTTCAGGATTATTTGATGAATAGAAATAACTCTATTCTTCCATTCACACAAACCTTTGATTTCTTTGGTGAATTTGACTCTATGGGAATCAGTAAGAGGTCGAGGCTGCTCATCGATGTTATGGATATCCAAAACCTCACACATGAACTGAATCACAGGCTGAGCTTTGTAGAATGCAGTAGCAGACACTGTGGAGAAATTAAAGCACGGTCGATGGCACACCAATAGTTAATTAAATAGCTAACAAGTCATTTGCAGGTTAAATCCCCCAAAATATGAACACTGTGATGCTTTTAAAAGCTGGACTATCTGTTTTTCCGACCAATGACACATAGGGGGGAAATGGAAGAATGTCAATAGTTGCATAATTATTATGGCATTATTTGTTCTTTTTCTTTTATCTGATCTTTTATAACCACTGAACAACATCCAGATCTTGTAACTGGATAATTCAGACCAAAATGGTTTGACTTACCATAACACTCTGACTTACCATCAATGTTCAACATCATCTTCCACATAGCTGGTCGCACTGATTGGTGGAATCCAAACCACACCTCCCTCCCCCCACCCAGTGGGTGATCATAGCCCTCGGGGGAGGAGAAAAAAGATCGTCCCACTGGAGTGTACCTGAAGTGAGAGAAGACAAATAACACAGTTGTAACCAGCAGAATAAACCTGTGCAAAATTAATTTACCTAAATTATCCTTATCCAACCACTTACTGTTTATGCTACACTAATCTACAACAAAACACTTTCAGTCTCATTTTACTAGTTATGCACTGTATCGTTTAAGACATAATCACTTAATGCTTTTCTAATTGTATTAAATGCCCTTTATGATCAGGTAACAGTACTCAGGGGGAACTCTTACCTCATAGAAGGCAGATGGCGCATAACAACATCTACAGCGTGTACGGGATTGGTGCTGATTGGCTTATCCAGGTTCAGAGGATCAGGTGTGCTCCGCCCAGTGAGGACTTCATGCAGCAAGTGCCAACTGACCAGTGACACAAACTTAATGGTGACCTTGAACAGCCTGTCCTTCCCACCATCACCTGGCAAGGTCACATCCAAGTCCACCTACAGATATTACACAAATTTACACATAATATTTAACACAAATTTACAAATGTGTTTTATTTTGTCATACAGGTTAAAATAATAAAAGACACTGTCATGAAAAATGTTCTAAAGTATGAGATTTTTATTTATATAAAATTTTTATAAAAATGTGCAAATGCATTAAGGCTGCACAAAAAATGCTGCCATTTAATTTAGTTAATTAACATGAAATAAAATGTTAATGCAGCACAATTCCTAACTTCTGTCACAAATATTTTCATTGCATGTGATCAATTTAAATGTCTAAAATTAAGCTATTTTAATTAATTAGCTTTTTTACATTCATTTATTTCCATTTCTTGATTGTATAAAATTAAATGACATTCTATTTTCCTGATTTATGGCAATACTTTAATGTCCACTATCAATATTTGAGTTATGTCTATATTTATTAAGGTATTAATAATAATAATCATAATAATAATAATAATAATAATAATATGCTTTTGTACAAACATATACGTATAAAACAACACTAATAATGAAATAAGCAATCAAGATGCTGTTCTTCAGCAGACTTGATAGTTTGGTAGGCCTATTATAAAAAGTTTGCAGCAAATATTTATAAGAATTACAGTTGGCATCATAACAGGAATATGATGATGAACATTTCATCAAATACATGCATCAAGGCTTAATTACTTTTAAGTACTCTAAGGTACTTCCCACCAACCCTGGAGCCCATTTATATGTCTTACCCCCCCTGTGGCCACTGGTAACGGTTGGGCGGTGTAGAGGCTTTTCTTGCCATCATAGACTGGTCTTCTGTCCCCAAAGATTGTCACCTTAAAGTGCTGCACCATGGTATCCACCACCTCCCTAGAAGCCATTACAGAAAGGGTCATAGTAGTGGTTATCGTAGGTTTAAAGGAATAGTTCACCCAAAAATGAAAACTTGCTGAAAATTTACTCAACCTCAGGCCATCCAAGGTGTAAATGAGGTTTTTTTCTTCATTGGAACAGATTGAGAAATTTAGCATTACACTACTTGCTCACCACTGGATCCTCTGCAGTGAATGGGTGCCATCAGAATGAGAGTCCAAACAGCTGTTAAAAACATCACAGTAATCCACAACACGACTCCAGTCAATCAATTATGAAGTGAAAAACTTTAAACCATCTCTTCTGGACAATTACAATAATAATCCATAATACTGTAACACTTCCTCCTGTGAAAAAAAGTCTATCCCCTGTTGTCCTCTCACATCAAAATCCACCGGCATATTTGTTTAGAACCAGTATCACCTGTTATGGATAGAAGACTATGGATAGAGCAAAGGTTTGAAATTAAAAATATCTCAATGATGGATTTGTTTTACACGCACGCACGCACGCGCACACACACACGCAGCTTTTAACTTCACAAGATGTTAACTGATGGACTGGAGTCATGTGGATTACTGGATTATTGTGGGGTTTTTATTAGCTGTTTGGACTTTTATTCTGACGGCACCCATTCACTGCAGAGAATCCACTGGTGAGCAAGTATGTATGTAATGCAAGGATGTAATGCTAAATTTCTCCAAATCAGTTCTAAAAAAGAACCAAACTCATCTATACCTTGGATGGCCTGAGGTTGAGTAAATTTTTCAGCAAATTTTCATTTTTGGGTGAACTGTTCCTTTAATGAATCAATTCAATTTCACTATACAGATGGTTAACCAAAAAAATTGTTAAAATAAAAGTGCCACAAACGACGTCAATTATCATTATTGCTCATTGTTTGGTACCTGTTAACACGACGTGGGCACTTTTCGGGATTGATGTCCACCTCGTACAGGTAGACGTCCATTTTGGGGATGTCCACCTGGAAGCAGTTGGCCAGCAGCTTGATGGGCTTCCCCATGGTGCCATAGCCTGGCCTCCGAGGTACGGAGAACAGGGGCGCAGCCCCAACGGCTCCTGTCATGAAAATCAGAGGGGATTTCCATCAATATGAGTTATATAAAATCAAATAGCCTACACTGTCATGGTGCCATCATAATAATCATAACATTAAAGCCAAATCAACCTTCATACAGACATAAAAGCGTTATTTCTCATTTGTCAATATTGATATTTCATGGAAACATGATTAATATCTGAATTAATAATAGTAAATCACCTCTTTGATTCTTGACACCGACATTTAAACAGTGGGTGTTATTTGTCTTATCAGGAGATTTCCTCTAAATACCTACTCAGTGGAAACAACATAACACTCAGCATCATCACACCACACACATTACCGGTAACCCACACCTTTCATACACACACTATTGTATACCTGTGAAACAAATAAAACAAATACACTGTCAGCTAAGACTTTAAAAAAAAGATTGCAATCAATTTGGCTTGAATATTTAAAAGCACACATACAGATATCTCCAACATACAATTCATATACTCAGTATAGTCAAATAAAATGCCTACTTTTTGAGAACATTAAGAAACATAGAATTTGTTTTGTTTGTTAAACCTGTCACAGTTTCTCCGTTGCATTTTTTAAGACAGGTGATTTAACAACTCCATGTAACAACTCAAGGGATTAGTTCACCCAAAAATGAAAATTCTGTCATCATTTACTCACTTACTCAAGTTGTTCCAAACCTGTGTGAATTTCTTTCAGCTGTTGAACACAAAATATGTTATTTTGAAGACATCAACAGCTGACAGTAGCCCCTGACTTTTTAGACTTTTTTTTCATACTATAAGTCAATGGCTACAGTCAACTGTTTGGTTACCAACATTCTTCAAAATATCTTCTTTTCTGTAAATTATGACAGAATTTTCATTTTTGGGTGAACTATCGCTTAAAGACTTCAACCAGAAGTCACATTTAAGTAATTTTAAGTTATATTAATTATACTGAAAGTTTTAAGATGACAATAATAAGAGTTCTGTAACTATAATTTCAGATAACAAAATCAACATGTCCAAATTAACAGCATTTGTTGATATGGCTATAAAATAATAATAATAATAATATAAATACTACTAAATAATAAATATTACTACTGTAATATTTCACTGTAAATAAAAATATGAGTATTTAAAAAAAATAATTGTTTTATACTACAACTGTAAAATTATAATACTAATATTTATGACAGTCTTAATTTCTTCATTTTCAAATTTTAGGGAGCCCTTAAGTGCTTTGCATGTAAGAACACAATGCTGTGCTTCACTCTTTTTTATTTATTTACTTCCCATAAACCACAGCCTATGCGATTTGATAATCACACCAAGGCTGATGATACACGGGGCAACTTTTTGAGCAATGTTGCTGGGCAACTTTGGGTAGTGTCAACCAGGTGAGACACAGCAGGGCCCACGATGATCTTAAGTATCCAGATAGACATTTGTTATCCATTCTCAATGTGAAAGTGCCCAAGCAACATTGCTCAAAAAGTTGCCCCATGTATCATCAGCCAAAGCCATATCATGATTCGGTTTTATTTCGATGAATTATGCAAGCTTATCTTGGAGTCAGGGCAGGTTTCTTTAATGGGGAAGAGTGCCCACCACTCTTTACGGAAAACGTTCCTTAGCCCTATGTTGAATAAATAACGACCTTTCTGTGTTGCTATTTAAATCTGCTTTAGATGCTGCCTTAAATGTTCTTTCACTTTGAATATCAGCTCTGACATCACTTTTCTCTTTTTTCACATTGAGTGGCATATTGCTTTATCACATCATGTCACAGTGGGCGAGACTGTTACTGCTGTTGTAAAGATGCTTTAGAGGGGGTTTACAGAGCGAAACTGTTACTGAGAGAGATGTGTAAGGGGAATTCGACTGCAACTGCTACTTACACTTCCCAGTGTGCCGTTGCTATGCCGGTGGCACTCATGTGGCTTCTTTCACCATAGCAACCAAGACTACACTAACAACCAATTCAAGGAAGAACAGCTGTTTCGAGACACAGGTACAATTGATCTTGTAGGTCACACATGTGCGTTTACTCTACAATGTTCATGCAGAAATCTCACCATGAAACGCTTGCTTGTACTGTTCACACGCATTCATTCTCACGAGTCCTTTTTTCTCACTTTATCTGAAATCCCTAGCAGTTTCTTGACATCATAGACTAAGAGGAACTACAGGGTTGACAGTGATGTGGTAACATACAGATCAGTTTGAAAGGCTATTGTTGGTCTGCTGCTCGGAGTGTAACGCTCACTTAACTGGCAAATAGGTGACTGGCATGTTTACAAGGGTTTCACTCATTCAGGGACTGAAACACATCTCCTTTCTCATCATTTAATTATTTAAAGCTAGTCAAGCAAAAGAATTTAAAGTTGTCTGATACTATTGTTTAGACAATTTTGCACTTTATATGGGTTTCTATTATTGACAGACTGATATATTCTCAAATGTGTCAATATGGCCATTGTTAAATTGTCAGCATTTATAACTGTGCCTGATTCGCTGATTAACAGAAGTGGTCATTCTGCCTAGTGTCAGTTACAAAATCTACAGACAGGCTGGTTATAATAATTTGTTTTTAATATTTTTAGTTACATTTTGTCGATATTTGTGTGAAATGTGTTTCGATTTAAAAATTAATAAGTCGACCAATTTAAAAAAATCTGTATTATATACAGTGTGTGAATTTTACAGTGACTTTTGGTCAAATTCATTTTATAGTAAAATTTAGGGGAGGGGCATTCTGATCTCATATCACGCAAATCAAATTGTTATTTGGTCGCACTGGAACAGTTAGCCAAAAGTCAACTACATTAAAGACGTTTTAAACAATACACTAACTTTTCTTAAAATATTTGTTTATTATAATAAAGTGATAAATGATGATTCTATAAGGGATCCGGCAGTACTGTTCCTAAGGCGAACACTGTTTTTGAGCATCTATAACAATAAGGGTGATTTGATTTCCATTTATTTGCCGCCTGATACTTTATTACTTTTTTACAATGACTTTTGGTCAAAAGAATTTCTGAAAGACCTCATATATACTGTACATACATATATGTATACATGCATGTATAGGACTTGTGAAATTGAGAAATCTAGTAATAAAATTTTTTTTAAAATAAAAAACAGAATTCTGAAAAAAAAAATTTAAATGTTATTTGGCGGACCTAGTAGAGTTAGCCAAAAGTCAACTATGTTAAAGACTTGTCAAACAAAACACTAATTTTTCTTGAAATGTCTATAATAAAGTGATAAACCATGTTTCAATAAGTGCTCAAACAGTACTGTTGCTTCGGTTAACTTCTCAGGCAAATGGGCTTCTATTGGTAAGCATCACCACCACTTGGTAGGCTACTTGTATGCATAATTTTTTTTTTTTGCAGTGACTTTTGGTCAAATGAATTTCTGTAGGAACTTACAGGATCTCATCATGCACAAATGTTATATTAAAGTAGTATTAATATTAAATAAATGTTTTTAAAATCATAAATTATATGTGATATATATAATTATATATATATAGTGTCCTCGGTCCGTTCGCGATTGCGTTATTCTTGGTGGGTGGGGGTGGGGGTGGGGGTTTAGTTGGTCCCCCCGGTCCGTTCGTGATGGCGTTCGGGTGGGGTGGAGACGGGTAGGTTTAGGTATATGTAAGGTGGGAGGAGTTGGATCTGGATCTTGTGTTCTGCAGTGAGGACCATCTCGGTGCGACCGCACCAGTTGCACCCCCCTAAGGTCGGCCCTGTATATACAAACTCTATAAATACTTGCGTATATAAAACGTTGCTATGGTTACCTTCTCAAGCAGACGCAGCGAGTCTACGTTTACCGCCCGTTACTTGTGTGCAAAATTAATATGGATTTTAAGATCTCAACCTCTTCCTTCCTAGGTGCCAGGCCCCCCAAAACGCCCCGATACACATTATTACCTCGGCATCCCTACAAATTCTGAGGATCTACAATGAATAGTTTCTAAATGAACTTCTGGTTATATACAAAACGATCTCCTAAAAATCCTACGTAAGATCATTCAGACTGATAAAGCGTTGATTCCGTGACAGTCGTCATGGCAACGGACAATCAGACACTCGCCCCCTCCCCCCGCTACGCACTCCCACCGGCAGCTCGAGGACTGCCGCACCTGACGCACGCAGCACCTGTGCGTGACAGCTGTGCCACAGTGGACTGACGTCAGCAGAGCAAGTGAGTCAGGATCTTCCACACACGGCGTATGACAGCCAAAAAAATCCAAAACCCTCACAATAAATTGGTTGCTACGCCCAAACGTAACGTTACACAAGCAGTAAAATAAATCCAAAAACGTATTCTTATCTCAAAAAGCAGTTATTAGCAACTCTCCAAGGACGTTTGCTAAGCAATGAACGTGTGTAGTGCTGACGGTGGACGTAACAAAGTTAGACCGAGTCAATTCGCCATAGTTCGGAATAGACAAGAATCCTAAATCGGTCTGAAAACGAGAGCGACGTACCTGTAGTTCCGATTTCCATTCATGAGGTCTCTGTCCGGAATCTAGCCGGCTCCAGGGGATCAGATACCGGCTGAAGGGTGTTTGTTTAAAGCCGCTGAATGTCCTCCGTAAACCGAACTACACCCCGGCTGCTACCGCGGGTGTTGAAGCGGGCCGCTCGGAGGTTCTGCTCTGGTCGGAGGTCCACCCAGCCAGTACCAAGTCAGTCAACCAAAAGGCACGAACTCCCAACCGTGTCTCCTACAGTTTGCCGTAGATCCGTAATTGCTACCAGCTGACAAGCCAAAAGACTCCGAAGAAAAATATTTTTAACAGCCGTCGCGAAACAGTTTGTCAGGAGCCTCGAACCATTCGCGGTGTCTTCTAAAGTGCCAATCTCTTATAATTTAAAAGACATACACTCAGATATGAAGTTTATAGATGAATATCCGCTGCCGAGTTGAAAATTTGTCTTTTAGTCCGAGTTTGCCAGCGGCCGTTGACGTCTCATCGACTCTGTCGGTGTGTTACCGGTTTGCCTTGGGTTTACCATCTCTGTACAGTCAGGCTGTGTTGCCAGATCTGTAAAAAGCAGGCAAGTTGTTCTGACAAAACTAACTCGGAATATGCGGCTTGCATATTCAAAATCAGCCTAAAATAGCCAAATTTTTAGCCTAAAGATTCTTTATGTTTTGAGTCACTGTAAAACTGAAATAATCCCCAAACCTAAAATCGCCTATATTTATAAGCAAAAAATAAGTCCAAAAAACTTAAAATACACGGACATGGCAACACTGAATCAGGGAGACCCACAGGAAATACCAAACGCAGGAAACACCGTCACTTCCTAGCATAATGTCATTTATTTGATCCGCCTTTGATTGTTAATTAATGGGTAGTGTAAGAACATAAATGACATGAACTCTCTATAAAATGTTTTTATTGTGAAGAAAAAAAAACTTTATATTATAATTTTTTTAAATAATAATTTTTTTAACACAGTAAATGATAATATTCGTCCCCATTCCTTCCTTGTTTTACAAAAACAAATCCTCCAATTTGATCTGGTATCATATCCACATGTATGGTCTGGTATACTCTGTCAAATATTATTTTCTTTTAGTGCCGTTTTGTCAACACTGAATCAGGGAGACCCACAGGAAATACCAAACGCAGGAAACACCGTCACTTCCTAGCATAATGTCATTTATTTGATCCGCCTTTGATTGTTAATTAATGGGTAGTGTAAGAACATAAATGACATGAACTCTCTATAAAATGTTTTTATTGTGAAGAAAAAAAAACTTTATATTATAATTTTTTTAAATAATAATTTTTTTAACACAGTAAATGATAATATTCGTCCCCATTCCTTCCTTGTTTTACAAAAACAAATCCTCCAATTTGATCTGGTATCATATCCACATGTATGTTCCTCTGTCAAATATTATTTTCTTTTAGTGCCGTTTTGTATGTTGTTATCTTAAATATTATGTACCTTATTTTGATCACATTTCACATTTGATTTAAACGTTTTGCTCCTTCTTGTCCTTTTTAGTCTTTTTCTCTGTTTATCACATTTAGTGTTCATCTCTGTGGTAGTGTCTTACTTTTTTTTTGTAAATTGTAAATAAATTTTAAAAAATCACTTCAATACAGGTAGAAAAAATATTTTAATACCATCAGTTTACTACAAACTATGATCTACAGATGGCAGCAGTGTGCTTAGCGTGTATGCCATTACCAAAGAAGAAGATTGTACAGGATATATTCTGCACTGTTTTTATACAGTCTTATGATTCTGCACTATAAACGTGAGAACAGTATCTGGTGTTTTTTTATTAATCCTGTTGTTTTACTGATGTAATTTCTATAGTCTAAAACAGAAAGATCAATTAATTTAAATTCATTTTCTTTCTTAAATCATCCCACGAAAGATTAAATAATTAGGGCACACATCAATGGCTCATATATTTAAGTATGTAAATACAGTAACTAGCTGCATGAAGTTGTAAATGTACGCCAGAATGCTGATGAACTACAAAAAGCTCAAACCCTATTTATATGTGCTACTATATTAAGATTAGATTCTATTATACATGGGATTGATTAAACTGAAATGCAGCTAAACCAGTACTGAGATCAATAACTCAAACTTTGTGTAGCTCACTATCATGTGGAATATTCTCTCCAGGTTTATTCAGTCCCCCCCCCCCATATTTCTTTAATCTTCCAAATCTCCCATATGTGGCATCAGTCCATAAGCACTAATCAGCTAGTCAACTCTTTTTCCTATAAGTATTGTATCAGTTGACAGTTTTGCCTAGGATGAATTATTTTTAATTCATGTCATAATGTTTCAGAGGAATGGATAAAGTCATAGACTGCCAGGCAGAGAAGGGAGGGCCAAGGAACCATTTTTTCAAAATATGCAGGAAATTGTTTATGAGGTCATCGGTGCGATACTCCCACAACTCAAAGAAAAGCCATTTGCACTCTTTGGACATAGTTTTGTGACACTGTTGCTAAAGTACCGGTAACAGGAAATTATCATAGGTTTTAAAAAGTATATATAAAAGTATATGGTTTTAAATTATATATACACTGATGTGTAGGACCAGAACATGATAGTCAATTTAAAAGGAACATGGGCCAGAACATGATAGTCATTATAAAAGGCAACCGTTTTAAATAAATAAATAAATACCTGTTCATTTGCAACTTCATTCTGTAGTTTTGGAGCTATGACCTGCTTTGCTTTTGCTGAGCACGTAAACAAGGTCTACAATCTTGAGCCGATCCACATGTTTCTCTCTGGAGCCTCTGCACCATATGTACAGTAAGTGTGATCTGTTCTGTTTGTTGTCATATCTCACAACTGTAAATAGAATTGAAAATTAGAGAAAACAGCCAGAACCATTTTGCACATGAAAACAAACATGGAGCATGATCACCCCACATATTATGTGGAATACACAGTATCTTAAAAATGCAAAAATTAAAGGAGTTTAAAAAAAAAAAAGTTACACAACATATAAGTGGTATTTCCATTTTATGTGTTTTGGTTTATTTTGTTGCAAAGGTGGGATATTTTTATTACTATTATTTATACTTACACTATACTTGTATGTGCAAATATATTTAAATGTATATTTATGTTTGTTATAAATGTTTGAACTTTTCTGTAAGTCTGAGGCAAGACTGCAGGCACCAAGAAGAAGTCATCTGTCAGATCAAGAGTTTCTTGTGTGGGTAACTTCTATTGGAGGCACACCACCAGAGATACTGGCCAATGCTGAGCTCGCCAAACTCTTCTTACCTGCACTGAAAGCAGACCTCTGTGTAGCGGAAAATTATAGGTGGGTTTAGAAAAGAAACAGACAGACTTCAGCGTCTTTCTTTAGTGTAAGAAAACATCAGAATATGTGGCACAACAAACCTACATATAATACATTATATACGGCAGATGTAGCAGACCATCAACACCCATCCTGTCATGTCCAGTATCGTGCTTTGACGGAAAAGAGGATGCACCCCATGACTTACAAGGCAAGTCTTACAAGTAAATGGTTCAGTTTTTACAAAAACAATGTTGCAAACGCATGGTTTGGATTTTATAAAGAGGTAAACTTAGAACGAACAATCTGGTTATTCGTTAATAATTAGACTCACATGTGCATGATTTTGTCATCTTTTACAAGATTTAGTTTTATGTGCAATTCTTGTATTGTGTCTCTTTTGCTTTACAGCTTGGAAGGACATGACAAATGGTGACTTCACTGTGCAGATGCTTCCTGGATCTCATTTTTACTTGAAAGAAGAAGCAAATGAAAAATATATACTGGACCACATCACAAAACATTTTGAGACAGCAGAGATGGACTATCTATAAAAACCCTGCCTTTCATTATTTAACTGCAAACATGATAAATTTATGATATAACAACAAATGTATTCCCAATTTATATTCGCTAATGGAACACATTTTCTTGTGACTGTAAAAAAAAAAATCAGAATAGACACAGAAAATAAACCAATTAATGCCAAAATTAATCAGTCCATTAATTGCGCACTGAAATGTTCATGACCTATTTTGACCAATAAATAATGAATAACCTAGATGTATACAGTAATTTTAGAGCATTAAAAAAATCTGCAATATGAAAATAATTATCAAGTAATCAATGCAAAGCTGTAAAAATATATAGCTCATGAAATTAAACAGACTGAATGGTTGAATGAAGGAAGGGGAAATTATTAACATTTTTAAATAAAATGTGAAAAGTGCGAACAATGTTGTGGGAATTTGCCACTGTTAAAATAGGCATGAAAGTGCACTATCCAAACTTAAATTGTTGTAAATTGTTTCTAGAAGAAAATCAGCAGATTATTGCAAAAGTGGAATTTTTGAAGTTGATATGAAAAAAATTGAGGTTCCTGTGAGATTTTATTTTGGGGCGTTATACCACAAACAGCCACCGGGTGCTATCCAAACTCCATTGATTTTTTTAAATGCATTTTTCTGTCACAAATGTTTAGATTTCTCTGTCAATATTACTTTGACAAACCAAATATTACCAAATATGGAATCCTGAGACTCAGACCTTTCCAATGATATGTTTTTTGTCAAGATTATAAAAAGGTTTGATTCTAAAAGACCGTAATGCATTTTGTAATATGACACTTGACACTGCCCACTAAGGGAGAGGAGACCGCCAAAAGATTTTAAAGTACAATTTCCATGGTAACGCAATGTCCGATTTCAAAATGGTTTTCACAGGATGAATTTTGGGCTTCTAAGCTTTTAAATTATATATAATTTATGATGATTACTAAAAGATTTGATAGAGAAAAAGGACAACAAAAAAAAGAGCACCAAGCGTCCCACAGGTGGGACGGTGACAGTTAAGGGGTTTTAAGGGTTGCTCTGAGGTTTCTAGGGTGTTCTAGGTTTTATATTCAGCAAAGAACCAGGCACGTGAAATACCTGAGAAGAGTGGTCTCACACGTCACGGTGAGATGATGAAACGTCTCAGAGAGTGAGTAATTGTTGAGTGTTGCTATGCTGTATAAATTATTGAATAAACTGCAGTTGCGTCGCCCCGTTACCAAAAGACCCGCTTAATTACTGTGTTTACTGCCGGACTCACAACAGCCGACTGACAGTACATCTGAAAGTTTCATCAGTCTCGGTAAGTAAAATGAATGTTTTCGGTGATTTACAAATGACATGTATATGAACTTTATTTAACATAAAGATAGTATTCTTAAATGTAGGAACCAGGTGCAGAAACTACTTTTCCTTTCATTGTTCCACCATCTAAGTTTTACAGCTAAGTTTAACTTTAGACTTAAATGCACCCTGCTCTGTGACCAATCGATTTATAACCTAAAAGTACAAATACTTAATATAGTCTCTCAATTAGGCTACGAGGTCATGAAATGAGCATGTATGATTAATATACAGGAATAAGTAAAAGTAGATAATTTACTAAACGATGTATTCATTGTTAATTCACATTAATAGCCTATTAGTAGTAGGCTATCTTTATTTAAAAAGCTTAGAGAGTGAATTTAAGGCGCATTACTAACGGTCACTCACCCCAATAATAATAGTACTACTACTAATAATAATAACGTAAATTAGGCCTAACCAATGGGGAAAAACATCGTTTTATTAATGTATTTGACGCATGAATATCAATCAGAATGGTAAAGCACAAACATAACTTTTCAGAATCAGGTGGTTAACCTGCGTGTTTACCAGAACTACTACTTTTGTCTTTAATTGTCATCTTGTTTCTATGATACCAGCAAACATGGCCACCCTGAGTTCGAAGCCAGGCTTGCGTTACAGTGTGTCTGACTGGGCGGCCAATAATGAACAGATAGCAGGCTGCTGAGTACAAACGCAATATTTCACACGAGATCCGCCAGGAAGGAAGAGCTCTACGTAATGAGACAACCAGTAAGGTAATGATCAGGGTGGTTTGAGAGCTGTTTGACAGGATAAAAAGACTGTACCACTAATTATCAAATATGCTGCTGTTATTGTCATCAGACAAACTGGGATGAGTATGACAGCAGCTGGCGACTGACTGACAGAATCAATGACGTCACACGCTGGAAGGAGAATCTGAAAGCTTGTGCACAGCAAGTGGATGCAGAAACGGACGCTCTCACTCTGGTGATTAATGAGTCTATAAAAACCATATTCACACTCCTTTTTTCCATCTCTTTAAGTTAACTTAAAGTAACTGCATGTATGTTTTTTTTTTTTTTTTACCTTGAATTACCAGTTCACTTCTAATAACCGGTACACTTCTAATAAGGCGAATGGATGTCTGTTCTGGGTGTATGAAAGTTCAGTGAACAGGTACAAAATTCCGCTAACAGGGCAGATAGTTTTACGGCAGGAACAAATGCACGTGTACAGCTGTCCACTGTATTTAGGACAGTAATATATTTAGGACAATGAATTCCATGCATTTAACTGTAGGGGGCTACAATAACTACAAAACTACAATACAGTGGATTTAAAGTGCCCCTATTATGACTTTTCGAATATTACCTTTCATGCAGTGTGTCATGTAGCTGTATGTGAAAATAAACTATCTGCAAAGTTGTGAAGCCGACAGTGAACGATAAATATATAGTTCAGTCATGAAACTCTAGATGGCGCTTTCTGACGGGGTGTTAACATAACTGATGATATTCAGAGATTTAAACGACTTGGCACAAGCTGATTGGTTCATGCTGCATATGCAGCCAATGAGCTTACTGCCTTGCATTTATATGGCTGGCTAGCATTCACTTGAGATTCCTGCAGCGCGCTTTCAGAGTTCTCTGAAACCCTCCACCTTCCCCAGCTCCACCTGTATAGATCTGCTATGGGTTATTTTATATGCTATTTGTGCAGCAGCAGTATGTCTTAAATACTCATGGCACCGTATCGCCATATGCATTGGCAGTAGCAAGTATCTGTACTTGCTTGCAGCAGCAGCAATAATCTACAACTACCGCAATAACCAACAGCAGCAGCAATTCAGCAGCAGCAGCGTAGCAGATCTGTTCCACCAAGACCAAATACATTAACATTGTCATATCTAAATAGCCTTAGCCATGCTAAAATGTTCCGAGAGTTGTCATGATTGAAATAAAGTTATTGTCTATCAGAAAAAAAAGAGTCGGCTCACAATCGCCTAAACGAGTCATCAGGAATTCGAATCTTATTCTGTTATGGCTCTACGTCAGGAAGTAACACATTTGCATAATGTCTGCCCACGTTCTAAGTTACGTCGCCAACTTGCCCGCCCACAAACAGTAAAATTTCTGTGTGGTTAACATCATGTCGAGAAGACGCTGTATCCTGTGAGAGTAAATTTGTTTTATCACATCTTATAATTACCACAAACTTGTTAACACTTGACACTTACCACTGAGAAACGTCCTGCTACAGTCTGCTTGCAAATCAGTCTCTTGTCCATCAGCCAGTTCAACTGTTTCATCATCAGACTCCGACTCGAATTGGTAAGGTACAATCGATACCATCTTTTCTATGTATTGACAAGTCTCCAGGGCTGTCATTCCGTCATGGCAATGGGCGTTTCGTTTCCGACACGCGCTGTACGCGGTAGACCAATCCAGAGCCAATCTCTCTACGGCTCTGGACCAATCACAAAAATCGCAACTTGTTTCTTCATAATTGCGACTTTATATCTCACAATTCAGAATTTTCTTCTCAGGATTCTGAGAATTGTGAGGAAAAAAGTCAGAAATATGAGATATAAAGTCACAATTACCTTTTTTCTTCCATGGTGGAAACAAGCTTCCAAATAATCTTTGTTTTAATTACAACTCTAAAAAAACGATTTTTACAGTGAAAAAATGTATTGTAAAAAAAAATTGGAAAGACACAAAACTTCTCAAGTGTATTCATGAACCCATAAAACATTGATCAGTCCAAGGAGGAGACAGAACGAGCCCTTGCTGCCACTGTTCTGCCTCTTGAAGTCACTGCTGAGTGCTTGAACCTCAGGGAAGGTCGTCGTGGCAAGGAGCTAGTCAGTGACCCTGTAGAAGCTGAACTGAAGAAGGAAGAGGTGATTGATGGAGCACAACGTGTCCTTCAGCAGTGCATCGATCAGGCCTTTGAACAGCTGTGGTAAGTACATTGAGATACTTTGTTTATTTTGGATGACAATGACGCTTAGATAAATTCTACATCATATCTCACTTGACTTTTGTCTGTTTATATGATGAAGATTAGGTGGTTGCTAATCTCAGCATATCTTCTTAGTCGCTTACAGGAAGCACGGATCTTGACCTTCAGGATAAAATAGAGGCCCGTGATGTGGACATGTCGTGCTTGTCTCTCACTACACTGTCACCTGAAATCTCCCTGAAGCCCAACCCCACGAGAGTGCCCCCCGGGTGAGTAAATGAGTAAATGTGCTATCTTAATATAATATTAATTTAACATCCCCAGACTATATTATAGGCCAAGTTCTGTGAAGGGACCCCAAATAGGTATTTCTTTTTATTTTAAACCTCTATTTATTTATTTTTTTAAATGTCTGTAGCGTTTTTTGTTTTTCTACATAAACACTCAAAAAATCAGTTAAACAAGATCAAGACATTTTTTATAAATATCTTTAAATTTTCAGATTTTATTTATTTTGTAGTTTGACGCAAACAAAACTATTTAAAACATTAATTTAAATAATATATTATAAAATAATAAATATTACATATATTTTGTTTGTTGACTCCAAAAAATAGTTTTCTTGTAAAATAAAATAAAATAAAATAAAATAAAATAAAATAATAAATGTGTTATTTTCGTTTTTGTTTACAGTACCACAACACCTCAGCAGTGGGAGCAGTTCTGCCGATACAATATTACCCGAGCTAAAGAGGAGATGCAGGCCTCTGTGCAGATAAGAGAGAACAACAGCATCACAAGAGCACAGGTGCCACAACTGGGCTGCGTTCAGCCCCGACAAAACGTTGCAAAACGTTTTTTTAAACGGAAACGATGGTGCGTTGAACACCCTGTTCTGATGACACAAGAGTTGCATCTATGGCAGTTGAGAAGGCATTTGTAAACGACTTTACTTGGACCCATTGTGCGAGCTGTCTCTTTAATACCACGTGGTTTATATACATGTTGCTGCTGATTGGGCTGACATTTTTGACACACCCACCAAACAAGAGAAAACGTATCTCAAACGATAATAAATTAAAATATAATATGATTTTAAACATAACACGATAACAAATATCAGTTTGCAATATCAAGCAGCATAACGGATTGGTTTTGAAGCTAATGACACCGGAATCCTCACACATTCAAGTTACAAATGGATGCACTCGCCCCTTACGTTAAAAAATAAGGTGGATTGAAATGACTGGATTTCACCAAACAACAAATGTGATTGTACCTTATGTCATCAGCAATAAAGAGATGCATAACCTTTGTTCTAGTTAATGTCACTCTGTAAAAAAACAAACACCATCCATCTTAATCTGCTGTGTTTTGATTGGTTATCTCATAACCCATTACTCCCTGGTTCAGTTTGGTTTGGTGGATGAAGCCAAGCAACTGGAAGCCACCATTCTGGCCAGGGGCGCCTTAAGATAACCAAAGGCCCCTGGGCTGCGGCATGACCCCAGAAAACCTCTCTTTTTTTTCTTTTTTTAAGCTTCCTAACAATAATTTGTCAAATTTCGTTTTTTGTCTTGATAATATGCCAGTTAACATTCACAACACTGTTCTGCGTAAAATGTGAATATAAGCGAATATGCAAATTCACTCTTTGCCACAAGGTGGCGCTTGTGGAACAGCAGAATTATATAGCCATTACATAAAGTAAACACTACGTTATTACGGGCATTATACGGAGGTAATATGAAAGGAAAATGCCATCAAAACTTTCCTGGCTGAAATGTGAGTTTACAGGTATGATTTAATCACACAATCACACAAAATATTGAAACACAGTCACACAGTCTCTGAAACAGTGTGAAGCTCAAATGATAGAGGATCTGTCTCGTAAACAGGATGCCCTGTCGCTGGAGCAGCACAGCAGCCAGACCCGCCAGCGCCTGACTCTAGGGGTCCAGACTGTGGGTCTGTCTTCAGCTGTGGTGCCTCTCATCAACTCTAGTGGCAGACACAAGCTGGACCTCGCTTGAGTTGACACCCCAATTCTTACCTCATACTTAAGGTGATGTCACATTTATTATTGCTCAGTGAAATTTCATGGGTGAAATCCAGTCATTCCTACAGGAATCTGTGTGATCGGGAGTTTTGCGTGAGGGCATAAAAGTTCCCCATGCAGATTTCACTCGTGTTCAAGTTGGAAGTGCTTGGTTTGAAAGTGACTAATATGTGTGTGGTTCTTTATACATCTCTACACTATTGACAATGGATGTTTTATTATTATTTTTTGTTCACTAATGTGACCGCACCTTTAGTTTAAATAGATTTAAAGGACTCATATATACAAGTATATCATGAGAAATCAAATTTTACTTGATCTTTTGAAATAAGTTGAAATTATAACTCAAAACTTCCTCCTCAGTCCAATTCAGAGTTGCCATGTCTGCAAAACAAAACTAGCTCAATGGTCAAATAAACTGGCCCAAAAAGACCCTATCCCAAATATCAAAGCTCAAAATATGCCACTCCCATACCTAAAATACATATTTTACAGTCACTGTTTTGTGTTCAATGCACAATTTCAACTTGAATATCACTATATAGTAGTAATCATAAACACAATCTGTTTTCATAAAGCGCCCAACCATTGCCCCTTACTCACAAAACTCATCATCCAGCATAGTTTTATCATTGGAAGAGTATAAAATGGGCAAAATATTATCAATACAAGCACTTCAGTCAAATACATTTTATGCAATATGTCAAACTTTTAACCCATGGGGGAGAAAAGTCAACCCGTGGCAACATTTTAAAAGTAGCCCAATCCCACAGGAAAACTGTAGACTTGGCAACTCTGGTCCAATGGCTTGTTCCGAACTTCCAACAGTTTTTGACATCAGACAAATGAACATATTGACACAGGACTGTACTCATTTATAAGTCAATGACGTAAGTGTGACATTTAGCTACTTGGTCTGGCCAGTCATGGTGAGGTAATAAAGAGGAAGTACAGTAGATAGACATGTTTTGCAGACAGTTTTATCCAACACGCCTTACAGTGTTTAAGGGATACATTTTATCAGTACCAGCATTGGAGTTGCCAGCACTACGATCTACCAGTTGAGCTGCAAAAATGGGCAAATAATTGGTAAGAGAGAGGGTGGAAATTAGTCAGAGAGAACTAAATAAATTAAATAAATACACTGATTTATTAATTGCATAATAAGCTGTATTTTCTTGATTCCAGTATTTTACAAATTTGTTTACCAGCCTCAAGATAGAAAAAGTGTTTTCGATGTGGTAATCGTTTTTTAATTATTGCATTTCAAACATTTATTTGAGTTTATGAGTTAGAGAGGAGCAAACATCTTAAATATGAAAACATACTAACAGGTTTTAATAGTTGTATAATGATTATTTTCTTGACTCATGGTAATCTGCATGTGGATCATTGTGTCATATTGTTAAATGGCCTTTTTGTATTCACAGACCTTTACAACAACAATGTTAATCCAGCTGTCAAAAGATTTCTATTTCATGTGTGGGAAGGGAAGCTAATGTCATATGAAAGCCTATATTTAGATTGGACTTTGACTCTCAGGGATGAACATGATAAAAGAATGAGTGACACACACACACATATATATATATATATATATATATAGCCAGTATGATCATGCTTAATAAAATGATCCCAAGGCTTTTTGCAAGCTGCTATAAAAGCGTCAAGTTAATTCATTGTATGCAATAGCCATTCCTGAATGACATCCCCAGACCCCTAGTGAGTTTACAGCTTTAATGGTTTAACCGTCCAGTTCATTTCAAGTGACAGAGTCACGGCTGGATGGGCTCAGCTTCCTGCAAAGCCCAATTATTCTGAATCATTTCACTAAAGGGGCCTGATCTAGTGTGTGCACCAAAGGCAAATAAGGCAATGTGAGACCATATAAATGCCATCTTGCTGTATTAAGTACCCATCCCCTTGCCTCATATCAGACCAATTCAAGCTCTTAGATGCACTAACCGCCCATCTAACGCCCCTTTTTCCCCCCTCCCTAATTTTTGCCTTCCAAATAAATATGAACTTTTGTGCAAATATGAACTTCCTTATTGTCTTCTTGTTTTTTCCTCATGCAGATTGGAGAGTGTTCAGCACTTTATTTCTTCCAAATGGAATAAAGAGAGAATACTGGCAGCCAATGGAGAGCCTATAAAAAGGAGGCATTAGTTAACTGATCTAGGTGAGCTACAAATCGACAAACTGATCTGACATGGAGTTGACTGCGTCCAGCTTCGTCTCATTGTTGGTCTACATCTTGACCTTCTTGCTTGGACTTCCCGGCAACCTCCTCGTTCTTTTCGTGTACATCCGTAAAGCTCGAAAACACGGTGCAACCCCCAACGTAGTCTACGCTCTTAACCTGTGCGTGGCAAACCTGGCTCTAGTGTTGTGGATGCCAGTCAAAGTGGCCGAGACGGTGCTCCAAGGTTGGGCACTTCCAGCTGCGGTTTGTCCAGTTTACAGCTTCTTTCTGTTCTCTTTCGTCTATGGTAGCAGTTTGATCCTCACAGCAGTCGTCGTGGGACGTTATCTGAGTATCGCCTATCCCATAACTTACAAACTCTACCGTCGGGCGCGTACCTCTTGCCTGGTGAGCGCCATCTTGTGGCTTTTAGTGCTTGTACACTTGGGTATTGCTTTTATTGTCGAAGGAGGGGGCCATTTTGTGTCTTTATCAGAGGAGAATGTCTCCGCATGCTATGAAAACTTCACCCAAGAACAGTTGGAAGTGCTGGTGCCGTTACGGCTGGAGATGGCGCTGCTGCTCTTCCTGGTGCCGCTTGTTTTATCAGCATTCTGCACACTGCGCTGCTTAGTGCTTGTCAGACACTCTGCTTTGCCCTCTGATGGGAAAAGAAGGGTGTTAGCCATTGCACTTTCCACTTTAGTAGTATTTGTGGTCTGTTATGGACCCTACAATGTTTCCCATGTGGTGGGCTTTGTCTTGCACACTAATGTGGAGTGAAGAAGTGAAGCCATGCTTTCCTGTTCCTGCAATGTATTTCTTGAGCCCGTGGTCATGTTAATGCTTTCGCCGTGGACACCGAGGGATTTGGTGGACAGATTGTGCCATAAACGAAGGAACGCATCATGTAAGTCATGGCATCAGAATCACTGCAACAGGGCTTCCAGGAGCCCACAAACTACGACACAGGTTGCGTCAATAGTAAGCCATAGTGAATCTAAAGATGACAAAGCAAAAGCAAACAAAGCAGACTCGTCCATAAAAGTGACCTGATTAGGGTATGGCAAGACACTCATGGAAATAAATGAGATGTTGACTTTGAACATGGAATTTTTTAACTTGTGAGTGTGAGTCACCCAGTCATATTTAGGGGAAGGATATATGAGCTGTGAGATAATGTTTTGGTGGTTATTAAAGATATTGGAAGAGAGTGCATGTTCTTATAATAATTGGCAAGACATTAGCTGTTTATGCACAGCATTCCCTTTTCACTTATGTTTGCCTCTGTATTATATGATTACATTTTTAATGGTTTTAACTAAAAATATTAACAATAGTAAGTTATTATAATGACTAAAAATTGTAAACTAGCAACATCTAGTGGATCTTTTGAACATGAGGGAAGATCTATAGTAAATTTGAAGCGGTTGTATGGAGACTCCATGTATATTCTTTTATTTCATCCAAATCTGGACAACAGTGTAGTATTGTTGACCCATGTGCTTAATTTGTAACTATTCTGTGAAACAGTTATTCTGTAATTATTGTTATTTGTACTATAAAATGTATAATGTGAAATGTGTAAAATGTTTAATATGGGTGCTGTATTGTAAATCTAATTTAAATTGCTCTTACATTCTCTGGGACTATTTCATTTTCCTGGTGCGGTTTTTGTGTATGAAAATAATGAATTGATGCAGCATGTAATATTATAAATATTCATTTTTTTATGTGTACACCGTTAAATACTACATGTGCACACAAAAGTCATTGCAGGACCACAATGATGTCCAGAAATTGTTGATATCCTTAAAGGGATAGTTCACCCAAAAATGAAAATTAACCCATTATTTACTCACCCTCAAGCCATCCTAGGCGTATATGACTTCCTTCTTTCAGATTAATCCAATCGGAATTATATAAAAAATTGACTTTGATCTTCCGTTCCGTGTACAACAGTGAGCGCAAGCTAGATTAAATTGATTATTAAGATTTAAATATGGTTATTTTTCTTACAAAAATTATGGCATGGCGTGAACACACCATAACATGTCTAATCTGTTCTGTGTTTTCATTGGTTTTAGTTCTGCTCTCTTTGACCTAGTTTCACTGTGTTGATCGGTTCATTTGTTTCCACCTGTGTTCATTAATTATCTTGTTAGTCCCAGTGTTTATATACCCTTAGTTCCTTCCAGTCTCTGTCCTTCTTGGTTTGCATTTATGTTTGGTTGTGTTTTACTAGTTCTCCTGTGTATTCTACACAGTCATGGCCTAATGGTTAGAGAGTCGGACTTGCAACCCGAAAGTTGTGGGTGAATAACCAGCGCTCTCTTCCACCCTCAATACCACGACTGAGGTGAAACCCTTGAGCAAGGCACTGAACCCCCAACTGCTCCCCAGGCGCCACAGCAATATGGCTGCCCACTGCTCCGGGTGTGTGTTCACGGTGTGTGTGTGTTCACTGCTGTGTGTGTGCACTTGGATGGATGTTAAATGCAGAGCACAAATTCCGAGTATGGATCACCATACTTGGCCACTCGTCACTTCACTTTCACAAGTCTCAGTTAGCCTAACGCAGTACATGTAGAAAGGTTTTTTTTTCCATATAATAATAAAAAAAACAAGTAGATGGAATATAAAAAAAAATAGGGAATGCTAGTGTTAGAGGGTCTTTTTTAAAATAAAAATAAAAGTCAAAAGAATAGAAAATGCTAGTGTTAGAGGGTCATTTTTTAAATAAAATTAAAACAAGTTAAATCCACCAGCGAGTGAACCGAGGGGGCTTCTGCTAGAGCCCACCACAGACCATGGAGACTGGCCTGCCACGATGGACAAGCCTAAACCAAGGAAGAGGTTGGAAGGAGTCATCACCACAGAGCCCATTCCACAACGAGAGTCTGTCCAGGTGCGTGAGCCGGCAACACCGTGGATCGCAGAGTGACTGCTTGTGGAGCTCGAGGGCTGGGAGGAAAACCCCGCCCACACTCCCGTCACTGTGTGTGAGTTTGATATGGCTTCTGGTGGATATTTTGAGGAACTTAAGGACATTTTTGAGGAGGATCTTATAGACTGGTTTGGTGAGGTTATTCCCAGTTTTCCTGAATCTCCAGCACCCCCTGTTTCTCTAGAGTTTTCTGTATCTCCAGCGCCTCCTGTTTTTCTAGCATCTTCTGTATCTCCAGCGCCCCCTGTTTCAGCTACTCTGCAGCTCCCATTGGCATTGAGGACCTGCCCAGTGTCTTCAGGCCATCAGCTCCTCCCAGCACAGAGGATCCCCTGGTTCCACCTCTAGCCTCTGTGCCCATCGCTCCTCCTCGGCCTGTCGACACTTCGGATCTGCCTTGGCTCCTCCCTCCCTCGGCTTCACTAGAAAACATCGACCATATGGCTTCTCCCTCATCTCTCTAGCTCCACCTTGGTCAGCCATCAACGTGCCTGCACCTTTGGCAACATCTGGCTCCACCTTTGCCTTCCCCCCAGCTCTGCCTTCATCCCCGATCCCACTGGCTCCACCTCTGTCCTCTGGTATTCCGACTCCACCTCGGACTCTCATTGCCGCGGCTCCACCTCAGTCCCCAGTACCATCAGTGTCACGTGGGCTCTTCGGCTCATCGCCTCCACCTGGGTCTCCATCTGTGACTGCATCTCTGTCAGTCATCTCCAGGGTGTCTTCTACCATCCAGTCGTCTCCACCATGGCTCCTCCCACCCTTGACTCCTGGCAGATTTCCATCTGGCTCCTCCTGTTCCTGGCTTCCCCTTGGCTCCTTCCACTCCACCATGGGCTATTATTTGGTATGAACTGTGTTTGTTTTTCCCTTGCTCCACGCCCTCTTCCAGAGCCCCTGCTCTCCCTCCTCAGTTAGTCTTTCTTTTTGCGATGCGAGGTTGCGCCTTCTGGGAGGAGGCAAACTGTAACATGTCTTGTCTGTTCTGTTTTCATTGGTTTTTCATTGGTTCTGTGTTGATTAGTTAATTTGTTTCCACCTGTGTTCATTAATTATCTTGTTAGTTCCAGTGTTTATATTCTAGTCTCTGTCAATCTTGGTTTGCATTTATGTTTGGTTGTGTTAGTTCTCCTGTGTATTCTACATTTAAAAACCTGATTCTGAACATTTTCCTTCATCGTGCACTTTTTGTGACAACCAAACTGTGACAGATAGTCCTTTGTTTTCACATTGAGTAAGTGTGGACAAATACCCATGTGATAGTTTGCAATAAGGCACTACCCAGGAAAGATCAGAGGACTGATAAACATGCATGTTAAAAGTTACAGTTAAAAGTGAGAGGGAAGCCTATGCCATAACCTGAAGAGTTTTGGTGAGTATGTAAAAGTCTTAAAATCTTTTTAGATGGTTTTGAAAATATGTTGGACTGGAATACATCTATTTTACTTATTTATTGTAGTGAAAAACTATAAAAACACAAAAGTGGTAACAGTCACTTTTACAAAACATCTCCAAAGTATGTACTAAAATATAAAAGCTTTCTTGAAATAACATTATTTCAAGGTTCTGATGTAACATATATGTATTTTTATTTAAAACAAGATGATAGCAGTGCAACAATGTTACCCTGCGGATTTGCATGATTTTCTCACATTTTGCTTTCACATTAACTTTCTCCATTAATTATTTATTATATATGCATCAGTATTTTATATTTAATTACTAATTAAAAATATCTAAATCTGGTTGCATGAAGATCAAAATTATCATTTTGAATTACCTCATTTCATTCATGCAAAGAAACTGGGGGGAAAACAGTGGCTCAATTCTAAACATTCATAACATATAACGGAATGCAAATCATACACTGTTTACTGTATCTATGCCATCCAGGTGTCTAGAGTGTGTTACGGGAGCGCATTTCAAAAGAGTCCATTGATTTTATCAAGACTAAAAATAGAGAGAAATACCTTTTTGGTAAGTTCCAAAACACTTATGTTTTTAGTATCGTTAAGAACTTTTATTTTACTCATTTTTTCATAATATTAAAAAACCTAAGAGAATACATCTCAAAAGTGTGTGTGTTTTTATATTACAGGGGCTGTTTTAAGAACTTGCAGAGTTGTTTTCTACAGAAGAACTTTACCACAGGCCGACAACAATGCCAGAAGATTCGACAGTGTTTCTCGCCATATATATCATCACATTCCTGATTGGTTTCCCTAATGCTGTGCTGGCATTCTTCTCATGTATTCGCAAGATTCACCGTAAACCTTTCCCCATTGACATATTCATGTTGAACCTCACTGTTTCTGACCTCATCTTCCTCACCTACCTGCCTGTCAAGATGAAAGAGGCTGCAGATAACATGGTTTGGAACATGCCCTATATCTTGTGCCACGTCGATATTTTCATGTTCTTTTTTCCTTTTTATTCCAGCGGCCTGTCCAGCAATCAGCGCTGAGCGCTATGTGTGTGTAACATTTCCAGTTAAGTATAAAAGTCCAAAGAGGATTATTTATACAATACTTATGTGTTGGCATCTGGGTGCTTGTTGTAGTAACTTCAATATTTACTGCTGTGTGTGTGCACTTGGATGGATGTTAAATGCAGAGCACAAATTCCGAGTATGGATCACCATACTTGGCCACTCGTCACTTCACTTTCACTTTAAAACCCTGATTCTGAACATTTTCCTTCGTCGTGCGCTTTTTGTGACAACCAAAACGTGACAAAAAGACGGACCCTCCAAAGTGAGTACCAGTAAGATGGACTTGCCTGCAACCCAGCCGCTATGCCTGGAATAGAAGCTGAAAAGCCTCGAGGCCTACACCCAACGGCTCACCTGCCCGGTGTGGGTCCTCGGGAATCTTTCGCCAAGTTCGTCGAGTGGGTGCTGGTGTGCAGTGGATCCCCGTACTCTGAGAGTTAGTAGACATGTAGTTGCAAATTAATGAGAATTAGTTGACATGTAGTTGACATGTAGTTACAAAGTTACTTATAGTTAGTAGAATGTCTAAAGTGGACTATCGAAATAAAGTGTAACCTTTCCTTACAAGGTAGCATATTTAGATTCTGATGAAGCAGACAACACCACTAATAAGCGCCATCTGATGGTGGAACCTCAGAGATTTTACAGTAACTTTACAGCGAAACAGCTCAGAGAACTGCATCCAGTGCGTCTGAGTATAGTAGTGGTGTTTTTCCTTCTACCCCTCCTTATCTGCTGCTTCTGTTACATCAGTTTAATTCGTATTTTGTTAAAGTTTCCTCTCATCAAGCAACAACGTAAACTCCGGGTGGTTGGACTGGTTGTGGGGACTCTCCTTGTGTTTGCAATTAGTTTTTCACCCTACAATGCATCACACATAGTGAGCATCATCAAAAAAGCAAATCCAGATTGGCGAATGAAAGCTTTAATCCTGAGCACTTTATTTTTATACACATATTTTTCTGTATCTCCAAGGATATGAGAAGGGCCATCAAAGTATGTGCAAAGGCCTTGTGCAGTTTTATGCCTATTTAAAGGGGTCATGAACTGGCTTATTTATTATTTTATACTGTTGTCTGAGGTCCACTTATGACGTTTGCATGTTTTTTACATTCAAATTCAATAAGTAATATGCTATTTTCTACCCTGGTTTTAAGGCCGGTGTCCTGACATTTCATCCTAGTCAGATTGTCCTACCAGGGCTTACTGCGCATGCGCACATCAATATTGCATCAATTTTCTCACGCTGAACAACACATAATTACTGTATTTGCATTACTGTATGGGTAGGTTTAGGTTTGGGGAAGGTGTAGGCACTTATCGCCTTTATTTTCTAATATATATTTCTCATTATAGATAAGAACAAAGATTAAATTGTAAGAAGGGTTGGTTATATGAGTGCATACCGTACATCTGAAACTGCTGAGGCTGGGAAGGTTTTTGACTATATTACCGACCAGGTACATTGTTCTCAGAAAGAATTCATCATTCTTAAAAAGAAAACAAATCATCAATCATCATTTGCTTTGTGTGTGTGTGTGTGTGTGTGTGTGAAATATTAACATTTGTTGTTTTTCAGATCAGCTGCTATAGAAGACAAACTGAAATCTGAGTGCAGAGACAAGCAAAGGAATAGTAAGTATATTT